GCACAGCGTCGGCACGCCCAACACTGTTGGCGACGTGAGCCCCCGGGTATGGTCCGTCGTGGCCACGGATCACGTCGAGACGTGCCCGCTTCCCTCCCGGTGTCAGAAGTTTGACCCTAGGGTCGTACTCTTAGACCCGTAGTGGTTGGAGGCGATATGGATCCCCGTCGAGCGAGACGGAAATCGCGCCCGAGGGTTCTAACGAGACGGAGCCCGCGCCCTCGGGGTCGGGCGAGACAGAGCCCCGCGCCCGAGGGGTCTGGCGAGACGGGGCCCGCGCTTCGGGGTCGGGCGAGACCTTAAATACGTCTCGGACCATCCGGCGAATTAACGTCGTGGCCGTTAACTTCCTTCGGTTATCCCTGATATTGATACGCGACAATACCTCTGTTCTGGAAACAAAGCAATTCTTGGTGTATTTTTTCCATGTCAAAGTTTGACATAAATATAAGTAAAAATATTAATATTTTGACAGGAACTAAGTATTTTATGAAATATATCTCATAACAAATCTAATGATACTTATTTAATATGATATTTATCTTCTACATATAATTAGTTAAACTTAAGAAACTTTAACTTGATAGTGTGTTAGAATTGTATTCTTTTTCTTACGGAAGAAGTATCATGAAACGTATTCACCAGACATATACTAGTATACCAATACCAACAGTAAAAAGTACCACTTTTTAATAACGAAAGAACATCCAGCTTCCTCTTTTAGGCTGTTTGATGCATGTGTATCAACCTCAATTCATATGTGTTAGAATGAAATAAAATAAAATTTAGTTTAATTACACTCTAATCCATTTCAACGTATATGAATTGAGACGAATATATGCGCATCCAAATGAGGCCTGAACAGAGAAATCACACTTCATTCATCGCACCACGAGACGCGATAAAGTAATCAACCAGTACTAGTCTACCACTGCCCACTGCCCACTGCCCACTGCCATTGATCATCTTCCTGACTTCCTCGATGCCATAACACAAATCAAGCCCCCACAGTTTGATTCCATTGGAAGGAAGGAATCAGGCGAAGCCCCCATCATCCTATTCGCCGGGCACATGTGAGTGACCCTGTGAACGCCGAGGCTCCACATCTGCACCGGATCCTCCTCGCTCCCATGCTTCCCCGGCACACCGTTTCACTGAATGGAATTCGATGGCACTATATATTATTCTGTGCTAAGCTTCGGCTTCACTGTTCTACCAACGATATGGATCCTTTATCCATGGAAGCAGCGAGCCACGAAAAGGGGTCGGTCACTTTTTGCTTCGGTGCGCTGATCCAACAAGAGACAAGAGAACCGAGGGCATATTGCAAATCTTTGGGAGTTCAGGGCATAAAGCCCTAGAAAAAGTGTGGGAAGGAATAGGGCGCGATGCGGTTGGGTTTGACACCGGCTGGCTGGCTGGTACAGGTACCATCGGAGTCTCCATCAGGAGGTTGACCGCAATTTGGGTGAGAAGAGAATAGGATATGGCTATTACCATTTCTCCATCTCTCTTTTAAGCGGGCAATTGGCATTATTATGGTTTGGTACTAATTTGGTACGGCATCAACAGTTCCACTCAGTGGTGAAGCTAGAGCAAATAAGAGAGGACGCACTTATCTTGTGGGTGCATAGGCATGTTCTATGACATATATGGTAGACTTTTAGACGTAATCACTATTTTTATATTTTTTAGATGGTGCATACGTAGCTTCGCCCTTGGTTTCACTAGGCCATTAAAACATGTAATTCAACGAAAAATGTAAACCCTTTAGCAATATGTTATTGTAACTATTGTAATTCAAAAAAATCTATGGCATGTATTGAAACTATCTCCAATGACTTCAATAATGTTCTGGGCTAGATTCACCCTTGTTTTATGAACAGTGAGTAGCATTTAAGTAATTTAGTTCGAGTACATCAAAGTCAATGACTAATATTGTATTAAAAATACCAACAAAATATCATAATTGAAGGATTTTATATAAGAATAGTGATCCTTTCTCCTTTCTTTTATAAGGCGCACACACATATCAAAATTTAAACTTTAAAATCTTTTTGACTAACAAATTTTTAATTATTACAATAATACGGTTAAATTTATAATCAAATGCGCCATCCAATTATCATAAGCTTATAAATATAATTAATATAAAATAAAATAAATAAACGATCAAAGTGAATTGATATGATGTGCCATGTCAAAATGCGCCTTGTAAAAGGAAACAAAGGGCATTAAAGACTATGCAACGTCAAATGTCATATATGTGTGTTGCAATATACATAAAACTGAATGGAGGGGCATATAAATTTCTAATTTCGAGGTTAGCGACATATTATTTGTTTGCATGATTTTTTCATATATTTCACGAAAGGTGAATTTCAATATTTTCATCTCTCTCCCTCTGTGTCCCTCACAGTCTAGTTTAATTTATTGTAAATTCTATATGGACAATGACTTCTTTAGTGTAGTATAAGACCAATGCATTGCCTTGCATTATTTTGTTATATATAGTCTATAGATAGTGAGTAGAATAGTAGTATAGAACCTGTGTGATGAATCTTTCCTGGAAAGTATGCACATCAAGAATCATGTGCCACGGGTTAAAAGTTGTGAAGAACCATATCCGAGGATGCTATTCCTCGAGAATCCAACGCCGTAAAATCAAGGGCCCGCTTCCTCACTGATATCATAAATTCATAATGATCTCAACAAGGATTTCTTGGTGGCATAACCGCATATGGGTATCTTTGATCTAGGAGATAAACGACCTCGACGTGCACGTATGGGTTTGAACATCGCAAGGAAGAGATTCTCCTATTATATTATGCAAATTAAAATACGAGTATATGTACCGCGTGATGATGATTATATTATATATGTTTTCGAAAAGCTTGGCCATTCTTGGAATATAGTGTTCCCATTATTCTCACCGGTGGAAATACCAGCAATAATTCTGATGAGAAGAATCATTTTGGTCGTACTGAACACGAGAATATCTCTGCATTATTATTATTATCTGGGCAGTCCATTCCTGCATGCAACGCTAATGCTCTTTTATTATATTCCGGCGAGAATGAGAATTATCCTGTGATATCTTGATGGCAATTGCAAAATTGTGTGTCGCGGAAAGCTGTAACGGAAATCTATTCCCCTGGCTACCTAAAATTGCGTCATGTTATTCTTCAGTTCTTTCCTGAGGGCTTCCATTAAAAAAAAATCCTGGCACCTTCCTTTGTTTGGACCGGAGAAGTGTCACTACATGACCATGCAGCTGGTACCATTTAGAAAAAATTTAAATTCATCGCCTTCAAATTTAGCGATATTGATTCTGTTTTTTTTTTGGTCAGGTTCATCTAGCATATCGAGAAGTTGTTTTTCTCTCTCTTTTTATTTATACGATCCTTTTTCTGTCCACCCCTTGAGTGTTGACGTAAGCGTCTGCAATACTTATGCCTATATACTACTAGTGAAACAAGGTAAGTGAAATAACGTAGGGTCTGTTCGGCTAGCTAAAAAAACGGCTGATACTGATGTTGATTTATTATCAGAGAAAAACACTGTTATTTCAATAAAACGGTATGGCTGATAAGTTCAAGCGAACGTGGCCGTAGAACTCATGTGAAATCGCTGCGATCCGAGTCCGGAATCCGGAGACACGATCACACGGCCAAATACAAACATTCCGTCCGATCTGGACTGAATTGAGCGCACGGCAGCGGACGGCAAGTCCGGTTTTTATTGGCCTTTTGAATGCGGGTGTACGGTTTACCCATTCGGCCATTCTGACCACCGTACCGTACAGATGCGGCGCACGAAGTGGTGGTGCCCATGCGACGCGAAGCCCCAGGTCCAGGTCCAGGCGCGGGGAGGAATGGCAGCATGGGGCACCGGCGAGATCAGATCCAGAGCCCGTGCTCCTCCCCGGGCGAGCAGCGGCATGTGAGCGCGTTAGCAGGAATGCAGGATGTCGCTCAGAGGCAACGGGATTAAGAAACTCTCTGCCCCAGTACGGTCCTGGTGTTTATTTTTTAGTCGCTCTTAAAATTCATATCACATCGAATATTTATATACTAATAAGGAGTATTAAATATAGATTAATTACAAAACCAATTATATATAAAGGCTAATTTCCAAGACGAATTTTCTAAGCCTAATTAATTTGTCATTAGCACATGTTTACTGTAGCACCATGTTGTCAAATCATGAACTAATTAGTTGCAAAATAGTCAAAAGTCATGGACTAATTAGTTTAAAATTAGATATTTAATACTCCATGCATCTCAACATTCGATGTGATGAAATTATCATATGTAATTAGTTTTAAAAGATTCGTCTCACAAATTAGTCGCAAGTTATACAATTAGTTTCGTAATTAGTCTATATTTAATACTCCATGCATGTGTCAACATTTGATATGACAGAAATTTTAGAAGTACCTGCATGAAACAAACAGCCCCTTACTCATGCTGCGGCCTGCGATGAGCGGACGGGACGTGGCTGACGTTTTTTTTTCTTCTTCTGCTTGTTTGATTGATCGAGGATGGCGAGCATGATCTCACTCAGGGTCGTTCTTCTGTCATGGCTTGCGCATCCTGTATTTTTTCAGCAAAGAAAAGGTGTTTTCCTCTCATATCAAATCAGCGAACGGTATTTTTTGGCCTGACTTTTCAGCAAAGCGAGAAGGGATTGCAGCTCACCTGATTTGCCGGAACGGCCGGAAGATGCGACGGCGGAGCTGGTTTCTGACACTTGCACGGGCAGGTAGCGCTGCTTTCTGGTTACCGTCTCACGTCCTGCAAAGCTTGTGTGTGTGTGTGTGTTGGCTAGGAGAAGAGAAAAAGAGACAAGCAGAGATAAGAATAAGCTCTGGAATCCGGCATCCGAAGCTGTTACGCGAACAGCGGAATCCGCTTGTTTCACTCGAGCCCAGGCTGATACTTGGCTCAACATAATGGTTTCAGCTCTATACAGCTTCAGTGAATATACCTTTGACTCCACTACTCCAGCAGGACATAAACGAAACCACAGACACATGGCCAGTGCACACTGCACAGGACGACTCCTCGTAATATTGTCGCACCGTTTAGGAAGTCAGGAGCATCTGAAGATCGCGAGAGCTGAGCAGATGTCCGTTCCGTGGCCACCTCCAGGCATGTCAAAGGACCAAGCTGAATTATGGCCATCTGTTCTTTGCCACCAAAGCATAAGCAATGTGCACGATCGACTTGCCGCTGCGTCGCTGCCTGTCAATGGAAGTTACTTACAATGCTCAGTAAGATTACACGAGCAATTGGAATTTGGAAGAACCAACATGGCAACACCCTCTGCCACCCATGCAAACTACGACCTGTTTTTTTAAACCAAACTCTGATCATATTAGTAGATTATGTATAAAGGAAGAAAGGAAGAATGTATCCAACCGGAACTTACCATTTAAATTCAGAGCTACAAATGCTACAATCTTGACCTCGGACCACCCTTTCCTGTTATCTGCAGGGCATCATAATGGCCATAACCATGATAAAGAACTTGGATGGGAGCTTCTGTCCCATACTCTTGGCCATATTCAGCAATCGCTATTAAACCACCGGCTTCGTTATCATGCATGTAAACGGTGATTGGCATCCTGCAAATGCAATAATTGTATTCTTACTACTTTGGTATATCACGATTATGATGAAGGATCACCATAAAGATGCCAACCTACAAATGGAATTCCCAAGTGTATCTTCTCAGCTATAGTGAATTAACAACAGATTTTGGTCCACGAGATAACTGAATAACTCTATCCAGTGTTAACATGCAGGTGTTGCAAATGATATTAAATGAGCACTATAAGAAGTACAGATGGAACTAACATATCTGACAAATATTTAGCTAAAATAGCAAATAGTATCAAAATATTTAAAGATAGTGGCTAACACTCACTGAAGAACATGTGAAGCCATGAACAACTCTGGCTCACCTCCCCAGACATGTGGCTTCCTAATCTGAGATACGTACATATCGAAGTCCCCCTCAACAAACCTGAAAACAATGCACAATAAAATACAAGTACAAGAATATGTGAATGAACAAGCAGCATGATTAGGGAAGAGAGAAAATAACCATTCAGTCTCTGCCCGCCTCTTGATAAATTCATCTGCAACCTAGTAATAATGGTAAAGTTCATACAGGGGTTTCAATGATGAAAGGGCAATCACTACATATCTAGTGTTTATGAACTTTAGTAATCGAAACCATGAACCTGATAGCAAATAGTGTACAGGTTACCTTTGTTCTCAACTCATCAGCTAGCTTTCTTTGCTGATCCTCATTAGGTATGGGCTTCCTTGACCTAATGCAGGCACCATGAGCTACAGAACGGAACAGACACCTTCCATCACCAGGAATGCCTGCAGGTCATTCAGTTCAACTATGAGTGCCTATTTGATGTTATAGTTAAATCATTTGCAAACTGTGCATTTATTTTAAATGAAACTTTCGCACTCTCACCAGTAACAGAATAATCTGTGTAAACATTTTTTCCATGAGATAAATTTGTTGATGACTTGTCAGGTTCGGTGCTATCTATGTTGTTGTTCACAGGACCCTCAGCACTCGCCAGTCCAGACACTGCAAAACCTAGTCCAGAGACTACACATCCTATTCTTTGTGGCATACTTCCCAAACTCCAGCTTACACTAACCTTTTGGTGGGAGAGTATATCAGACTTTACATTCAGGATATGGCTTCTTGCTGATAGTCTGCACTGCAACTGTTGTCCTAAACCGACAAAACATGTCGCATTTTGCAGTTGAGATGACTTCACGTTCTTCTTAACAGAAAAATCAACTGAACCTACCCTTGCATGATGCCCCACTGCCTGTGAGCAAGAAGTACTCCATAAATCTACTCTTCGAGTGAAACTTCCTTGTAACTGATTAGATGGAGAATACATGTTGCACGAAGTAAAGCTCCGCCAGCAAATATTAGGCATATTGATAAGCATTAGATTCAGGTAGTATCAGGTGTCAACTGAAAAGTATTTACAGGGAATCATAATTAATAATAAGTGGGATATAAGATTATTTGGCCAAATAAAATAAGATGACACATAGAAGTGGAAATATAGATAACCCAGAAGATTTGTGACACAATTGTGTAAATAGTAGCAACAATCAGAAAACAAGAGAAGGTTAAATCACATTCCAATGAAGCTATAAGTAATAAATAAAAAGCCAATAGACAGAAAGCTTAAGGATTAAAGTCTGTCCACACACTTTTGGCAAATACCCCAAAAAAAAAAACAAGATAGAAATGGCCTGTTACACACTTCCGTATAGGATTCACCTTTGCCACCTTTATCAACTTATATAAGGACACAAAATATGCTAAACAGCGTACCCAAATCCCAGATATATGAAACATAGACAGCAACCTACTCGTTACTCACTAGAATTCGAGCATATTAAGCCACTAAACAAGACTTGGCCTCAGGGGAAGACTACACCCGATAATTTTTTACAAAAGAACGAAATTAGGAGCCATAATAATACATATTTATATACTTGCAACTAGATTAGATCCGATTACAAATAGCCAAAATAGCTTAGGTTAGGCTTGGGGTGCTCGGTTTTGCACAGCAGGCAGGGAATAGAGGGGGGCGGGACCTGGTGGGTGCTCGTTGCCGGAGAAGGGACTGAGCCTGACGAAGACCTGGGAACCTGGCGTAGGGCGGCGGTGGTAGCCGAGTCGTCGCCGAGAGAGAGAGAGCACGCGGGTAAACGTAAACGGCGGCCGAGGGTGAGCGAGCGAGCGCACCCGCAACGGCCCTTCTCCTGGGATAATGGGCCGTTCTTTTTTTTTCAAACGTGGGTAATTCGTGCATTTTCTTTCTTTTTCTTTTTTAGTTTTTATTATTATTGCATTTGTTCTTTTCGTAGAACACTGCCAGTCACTAGCGTAACATTGGTTTTAATTAGCGGCATCATAATAATATTTATTAGGACATTTTCATTTTATTTTTATCGTTATGCTTCAAACATTTTTCTCTTTAACATGTAACAATTTTTTTGAGGCTGAAATTTTTATATTAAAGCTAGAACACTTCCCTTTTGAACATATAGCTGTGGAGAACTTGTCTAGCATGTACGACGGTTACTAAAATTAATGCTTATTTCTTCTAACGTGGCTCAAAACAGTTTGTTGTTAAGCCGAGTTAAATTAAAATTTATTATTTGTCCGTTGTTCTACCCCACTATTTTTTTTTCATGCTTGTCGCGTTGAAAATTTTGAGGCTCTCAACTCTCAAGTCTCAACCCACTATTTTCTCATACTTTTATTGCTTTTAAAGTTTTGAGGCTCCCGCACAGGCATCTGCTAGTAAACTCATATAAGTAGGTTGAGGCTAGATAAGCACTAAGAATTAGTAGAAAAATCAAAATAACAGGTGGTACATGGGTCTAAAGGGAAAGTTGAGCGATTTAAAGCTAGGTTCATAGCAAAAGGATTTACACAAGGACAAGGTGCTGATTCTCATGTCTCCAATAAAGGTTAATTTAGAATCGTCATGGTGCTTTTAGCTCATTATAACTTGAAGTTACATCAAATGAATGTTGAAGTTTTGCTAGAGGATTTTGTTACGAAAGGCAAGAAGAACATGGGGTGCAGATTAAAGAATGATATTTATGGACTTAAGCAAATGTCACGGTAAGCTTTCATATGTTTAATGATTAATATGATGATATTTATTATGCATCATAACTATTAATGATATATTGTATATATTTGATTAAAGTTAAAACTACACATTTTAAGAAAAAATCATACTCAATTTTTTTATTATAAAAAAAAAACTTCGCGACGCCGACATGTAGACCGAACCAATCCTATTGACAAAACTTGGCGATCTTCGAGCTGGTGCCGTGCGATTTCTATACACTGTCATATCACTTCCCATGCTCCCCGTGCGATTTTTCCACACAATCGCCTCGCAAAGATTCTCGATGGCTTCTCCGCCGCTTCAGCTCGCCGCCGCGCCCTTGCTGTTGTTGCTGCTAGTGCTAGTAGTGGTGCCGGGCACACGGTCCAGCCGCGTCTTTTCGGTGGCCGACTATGGTGCGGCGGGCGATGGGTCCCGTTACGACACGGCGGCGATTCAGGCCGCTGTAGACGCCTGCGCGGCGGCGGGCGGGGGCCGCGTTCTTCTCCCGGCGCCGGGCAACTACCTGACAGCGACCGTCCACCTCCGCTCGCGGGTGGTGCTGGAGGTGCCCCCCGGCGCGCGGCTTCTGGGCGGGACCAGGCAGGCGGACTACCCGCCCGAGTCGCGCCGGTGGTACGTCGTTCTGGCCGAGAACACCACGGGCGCCGGCGTCACAGGGGGCGGCGAGATCAACGGCCAGGGCGGGGCGTTCGTGGTCACGCCCAGCGAGGTGAAGAACGTCATGGTGAGCTGGAACGCCACCGGCGACTGCCTGGGCGATGAGTGCCGGCCGCGGCTCGTCGGCTTCATTGACTCCAAGGATGTTAGGATCCACGACATCACACTCAACCAGCCCGCCTACTGGTGGTAAGCATTTCTTACTCCATCAACTTCATCGATCAATTCAGGAAAAAAATACTGATAGATGCTGTTCTCACTGCTAGAACCATAATTGTGAACAGGAACAAACAAACCTGCCTGATTATTCCATTCCAATTTCCAAAGATGCTAGAAGCAACATGTTTTTACTCTCTGCCCTTGTTGTTCTTGCGGTTTTGTGAAATAACTTATCCTGATATGTTTTCCTACTTAGGAGTTAGGACATATGATGAACAGAAGTAGACAGTGTTTATTTGTCAGTGTACTTGGGCAAAATTAACAGGCTCTATACTTGCATTGCACGCAGTCTTCACCTTGTCAGATGTGACAACACTGTCATCCACAATGTGTCAATATTTGGAGATTTTAACAGTCCCAACAATGATGGCATTGACATTGAGGATTCTAACAACACTGTCATAACCGATTGCCACATAGACACCGGAGACGATGCTATATGCCCAAAGTCGACCACTGGACCAGTTTACAACTTGACAGCAACAAACTGTTGGATCCGGACTAAATCTTGTGCTATAAAGTTTGGAAGTGCAAGCTCCTTCGACTTCAAAAGGCTGGTTTTCGACAACATCACAATAGTTGATTCACATCGAGGACTTGGGATGCAGATCCGGGATGGAGGTACTAACCTACAACTTGCAATTGTCAGTATATATTCATACAATTAGGTAAAGCAAACATCTTATTAAATGTGAATGACACACTATCACTTTAACTTTTGCAGGGAATGTGAATGACGTGGTTTTTTCAAACATTAAAATGAGCACCAGGTACTACCATCCTTTATGGTGGGGAAGAGCCGAACCAATCTACATCACAACTTGCCCAAGGCACCCAGATTCAAAAGAAGGCACCATCTCAGACATAAGATTCATCAACATCTCATCGGTATCAGAAAATGGAGTTTTTCTGGCTGGATCGAAGCATGGGCTGCTCCGCAACCTGAAATTCAAGAACATAGACCTTACCTACAAGCGGTGGACAAACTACACAGGAGGGCTCTATGATTACAGGCCTGGGTGCCGGGAGATGGTGAAGCACAAGACTGGTGGCATGATGCTGGAGCATATCTCCGGCCTGGAGATTGACAACGTGAGGATGAGATGGGCGAGAGGAAGCCTGAAGGGCTGGAACGTTAACCCTATCCTCTTCCGGCCATCAACCACCGACAAGCTGTCTTTCCATGACTGGCAGTCAGTGGATGTTCAGTAAATTTAAGTGGCACAATTGTATTACGTGTGTATCTATCTGAATAAAGGGGTGATTCTTTTTGTGAAATACTGAAATGTGCTAATAAGCAATCCCAACAGCATTTAAGCTTCTACATATGGGGGGACTGGTGTGATTTGCTATAATGATTCTGAATTCAAATGTTTAATTGTCCAAATGTGGTTTGCTTTGTGATTTTATAATGATTCTACTACAATAATGTACCTGATATTTGTTAATTGCCCAATATTGTCTGAATTCAAATGTTTGATTAATCCAATTCTAAGGATTATGCTTTTTGTGGTTTGAGGAAAGGAGTTCTTCACTTGGTTCTATTTCAAAGTGCTATGTGAATTTGCAATTAGAATTATGGACAAGTTCTGTAGGCTCATTCCTGTTTGTTATTTTTAACCATTTCATTCAGGTATATGCCAGAGGTTCATGATATCATAGCTGGCTGTGTTATTGAGGTGTGTAAGATGTAAATTAATGCTCTGTATCACTAACTGGACCTTCTCACTTTTGTGACTCAATTTATAATTACATCAGTTCATGGCATTGCTATAAGCTCTAGAGTTTTAAGAGCCTAAGATTGGTTATTATTGAATGTAGTTAAAAGAATGCATGTCAGACTTCAGTATCTGAACTTATTTTGCACTTGTTTTTGATAATTCAGTAACTCTGATGTAGGCATGTAGCATGGTATTTGCTTTCAGATAGTGTGTCCACTTGTCAATCAGCGGCCTAGGAAAACCTGGTTATATTTGTTATGTCAGTAATAATCCAATACATTTTACATTATTGTCATACCAGTTTAGTGTCCATGTGTAACCCATTTCTGACCAATGTAAATTACAGTGTTTATCTTTATTTCTCTAGGTTGCTCGGCTGGACTCTGGAGGTTGGAGATAAGTTTTAGGCACAATGCGGTTTTGATGGTTTCTTTTATGAAATTTCCTGATGGAATTCAGGTACGTTTTTCTGCAGGATTGCCGTGTAACACCTGTAAGCCATAATTTCATAGCATAGCACAATCTAATTAAAAGGGTGTGAATGTACAAAAAAAAACTAACCCAAGCTGTGGAATCGGCATGTATTCGGACCGTTTTTTCTACCTAGTAATGAAATGATACGCAGTCCTCCTGCGTGTTCTAGAAAAACAAAATACAGCATGGCACACAGCTAAGCACTACATCGACAATTGCCACATTAGTATAATAGCATATCTTCCAATGTACCAATGTGGACGATAAATATCACCAAGCACAGAATCAACAAAAACTTCAACATACATAATGAAGTTTGAGCATGAAGTCTCTCCTTTTATATAGAACACATTAGACACCAAGAAATCATTTGTTTGGTTCTGGAAATTATGCACCGCACTTACCTTCATAGAGTGTGAGTGTAGGGGTATTATCAAAACATAAGTTATTGCTGGCATTATTTCATTACGAATTTCACTGGTGATTCTTCTCCAATACCAGTTATTATATTTTCACACCTTTCTGAGAAGGAGAACTGCTGTTGATGAACTTAACATGTGGAGTAATTTTTGAGGAAAAAGGATGTCGTCTGTGTAAGTATTATACTTGCCTTTTTTTTTTTCTTTGAAGCCATAAGAACTAATACTTTATTTTGGTGCTGGAATAGAAACCCAGTTCATTTTTTTTGCGCAAGAATAGAAACACAGTTCATGATCTGCCTAGTGATCTGTTGTGGTGGACTGGTGGGATATTGGTGGAACACAGCGAAGAGAAGTAGCTGTGTGAGGTGCACGGACGTGGCCCTGGCCCCTTTCGGCGTGGTTACGATGCCGTGCAGCGGTCCGCACCAGCAAGGTTAGGGAAGAGAAGCAGAGTATAGGGAAATAATACCAATCTGTTACTTGATTTTTCAGGTCTTTCGGGCTCATATAAATAGCTGACACGGTTTTCTCCTCTCTCAAGTACAGATAGATGAACTGATCTCTTTAACCAAACCAACTCAAAAACCTAGTTGATCCCCTGAAACAAGCTAATCTTTAACCAACTCTACTAGACTCCAATGATGCCACAGTTAGCCCCGATTCGCGCCAGAAGATGGGGTCGCCGGCTTCTTCTTGCGCCTGGAGTACCGGCGGCCCCACGTAACAGATCTGAAAACTTTTTTAAAACAGTATTATGGACTTATGGTATACTTGTATATCTGTCATGTTGGTAGCACAATCCAACAAACATATGCTGTTACTATGCTTTGCTTCAATCATCATTGTTGCCTGTCAGGCAATTACCTTGGCACGTTTCTTTCAAGCCCTTGTTTTTAATTCAGAGGACTAACTAGTCCTTCTGTAACTTGTATTTGATATGTTCGCTTTGATTGAATTTTGAGGAATCATTCTTACTGCTAGCCTGCAGATATTACTAACTCAGTGGCTTTCATAGCAGAGTTACTGAATGTTGCATCTCTATCACACATGATTGCAAGTCACCTGGTACGATTGCCTTTTCCCTGTAAATTATGTGGTGATTTCTGCTATATATTGCTATGAACCAACAATGAACCTTCAGACAAGGTTGCTGTATGAATTAAAAGAAAGGTCATTGTTGGTTCATACTGCAACCTTGTGCTATTCAGGTCAATTTCTGGACCTTAGAGGTGAGGTCCTCTGAAAGAATAATGGGGACTGCAAAACCATCTCTCAATAATCTTAGAAATATTATTGGATTTTTTTTCGAACCGGAGGTTTCCCCCATTTCCATTACTCATAACAGAAATACAGTGTTCGAACAGATTATCAAGAACTATCAGAAAGAAAGCAGACATCTAAGAGTATCACACTGCAACTTACTACTAGCGCACCTATCCAACTTGCCAGTAATCTTAGCAAAACCCAGCGCGTAGCCCAAGGTAGCAACAGGCACAGAACATTATTACAGAAGTTTAGAGATAGGACACAAAAGAACCAGCAAGCTTCAAATATGCATCGCAGACATAGACCCGCCACCCACTCAGACTCACATCAGGGCTTAGTCCTTCTGGCTGTTTTCGGAGTCATCCTTCGGTAGCAGTATCGTGTCTGGCTTCATCTTCTTGTTCAGCAACTTCAACGCAATCTTCAACATTGTGTTGACACCGGCTTCCAGGAGTTCCTTGTCTTCCTTCAGATAGAGCCCTGCCCAATAACTCATAAGTGCACAGGCGTGACAAACAATTGAGATAGGATTCTGAACAATCTTGCCCTCAAAGCAAAGTTTATTCCGAGCTTTCCAGATGGCCCAGCAGATGGCCGCGATTCCCAGCGTATGAAACTTCTTACCACCGGGAAGCCATTTCTCACACCAAACCCAACACTGACCAATCGATGTTGGGATATCATCAGCACCAATGCAGGTCGCAAAGGTTGCCCAAACTTCCTTCGCAATATTACAGTGAAATAATAGGTGTGAGACAGATTCATTCATATTGCAAAAATAACACGCAGGGTCACCTTGCCATTTTCTCCTAATCATGTTATCCTTTGTAAGAATTGCATTATTGAGTACCAGCCACAGAAAAATTTGAATTTTAGCAGGAATTTTACCTTTCCATATTTTCTTGTGATAAGGACCAGAATCATTAGAAGTAAGAGCGTTATACATCGTTTTGACTGTAAACAAACCTTTTGGACTCAATCTCCAAGTCACAATATCGGCAGAATCATTCAGATGAATGTTGGACATATCAGACATGATGGAATCCCATTGTTTTTTCCAATCACCCACTAACCATCTAGAGAAGGTGAGACTAGCAGGATTGTGTTTGACATCAGCCAGAGTGATATCATGTTGTTGAGCCATCTTATAGAGATCAGGAAAGAGAGAGTTGAGTGGCTGCTCATATAACCATCTATCTTTCCAGAAGAGGATCTTCTTACCATTCCCAATGATGAATTTCCTTCCCTGAACATAAAGGTCTCTAACCTTCAGCAGATCAGCCCAGATGGGAGAATCTGATTGTTTATGTCTCACAGAGCAAATAGTATCATTCTCCAAATACTTGTGTTTAACAATCTGTTGCCACAGTCCATTCTCCCTATCAATCTTCCAGAGCCATTTGCATAAAAGGCTCAGGTTCATTTTTCTGATTGAAATATTATTGGATGGCCCTAGTACTATTATAATGAGGATAATATATTAGGAGACTGTTAGAAATGCAAACATATGTGAATAGTACCTGATTGCAAGTATCTACCTGCGGCATTCAGCTATTGCAAGTATTGACCTGGATGGACTGCTCGTCGTGCTCCTGGTGGCTAGCTCGCGCGACCCCGGATGAGCTTGCACAAGTGCCGGTGCTCCACATCGAGCCGGAGGAGGAGGACACATTGGGCGCGTAGCCCAAGAGCCCGGCTGCGCTGGTGGGCTGCAACTCCCGTGTTTGGGAGCCTTGGCCCGCTAAGCAGCCTGGCCGCCGGGGTGCAAAACGGCCCCCTCTGCCTGGCTCCGGGGAAACGAAACTAGGGTTCGTTTCTCCCGGGCGCGGCTGCGAGCGGCGCGAGGGCGGGAGATTTCGGCGGCGGCGGCTGGCTCACGCGGGCTCGCGGGACGAGGGAAAGGTCCGCGCGCTCTCCCCACCGGCGAAATCCTCCGCCTTTATAAGCGTCGCTTGCTGCTGCTTCTCCTTCCTTCCTCTCCGTGCTCTTCGCCTTCCTCTAGCCACGTGAGAGACCGGCGGTGGTGGTGAGCTGGTGTGCGTCGCGGCGGCGTCCTCCCCCGGCGGGCTTCGTCTCCGTTCCTCCGCCTTGGATCTGCTACGATGCGGCGCCGCTCCGTCGATCGCGGGGACTCCGTGGAGGCGGCCGTCTTCTTCCCTCTTCTTCTGTGGGTGCGGTGGTGGTGAAGCTCTTCTCCCGGTCCGATCTGCTTCCTCTCCGGCTGGATCTGCTTTGTCTGCCTCGCCGGGTCTTGTTCTTCCTCCATTGTGTCTTTGGTCTTTGGTCTTTGGTCTTTGGTCTTTGGTCTGTCTTCTGGGGGGTCCTAGGGCCATGAGGTGGAACAACAACACCTCTAGCTTTGTCCTTAGGAGGATGGCACAGCTTGTTAGTGATGGTAGTAGACCTGACAAAGTCTTCAAGGATAAAGATGTTAACCTTGTTGCCAAAGCCCTTAAGGAGTACAGTGGGGAGGCAGTGAGGCCAACTCAGGTGTACAACCACCTGAGGAAGTGGAGGCAGAAGTGGTCTAGGGTATGTAAGCTCAAGGATCTGAGTGGGGCACTTTGGGATAGTGACAACAATGCTATCATGCTTGAGCAGGAGCAGTACTTTGGCCACTGCAAGGTAGAACTTTGTTTTCTTTCCTATCTGTCCTTGTACCTGTCTTTCCATTACTTATCTAAAACTGTACCCTTCCCCTCCCTCCCTCTTACTGCAGGACCATCCTAAAGATGCAGAGTTTCTAAACTACCCTATAAGGTTCTACACTGAGATGGAGTCCATCTTTGGCCATGCTATGGCCATTGATAGGTTTGCACTTGCTTCTGGTGAAGCCCTAGGGGGCAACCAAGCTGAGAGTGTTGCTGCTAAGGTAGAGGGTCCTTCCTCTACCCATGTTCCTGCTGAGAAGACACACACTGATGTAGGATGCAGCAGCAAGGCCACAAAGCTCATCTCCTCAGCTATGGGTGCAAAGAGGAAGAGACGCACCTTCAGTGAGGATGAGATGCTTATGTTGACCAACATGTCTGATGCTGTGAACAATGTTTCCAATGATCTTAGGGAGACTGGACCAGCCCATGTTGATGCTGACCTCTACCTTGTTGTGATGGAGATGCCTGGTTTTACTGAGGAGGCACTGATAGTGGTCTACACCTACCTGCTGGACAACAAGGCCCAAGGCAGGGGCTTTGTTGGCATGAGTGACAGCCATAGGAACATTTGGCTCAGGAACTACCTAGCTAAGAACTACTACATGTAGTTCCTGCACATGTTGGCAACCATGTGCACTGAGGGGGTTGACTGTTGAGATGTATAATTCCTCCACCTCCCTAACCCACTCTCTCTAATTTTGACTACATTTGAGCTGTAGGTATTTTGTACATGTTACTTGGCTGACCCACACCTGTTCTTTTGGGTTCTTTCTTGGGAGGGTGGCTAACTATATGTGCTAGAGGGCACCATGGTAGGCATTTGAGCCCAGAACTGTTGGGCAGAACAATCATGTTGTAAGGCACTATTTGTAACATATGTTGGCTACTTTATTTGAGATCAGTTGTTCCTTATTCTCTTACTCATGACATGTTGGTTTTGTTTCTTTTGATTGGTGGTAACTATAGGAAATCTATAAGGCCTATGATGCAAACAATATATTCATGAGATGACTGCCTTGTTTAATTGGTTCTTCATGTTTTTCATCACTGCCATGGAACCCTATGTGTGCCCATCCATTCACTTGTGCTGATGGCAGTGAATGGATGTGCACAATAGGGTTCGATGGCAGTCATGACCCTGGATTTGCACTTGTTTGGTGCCTGCCCTGTTTACTTGATTATTGTGATTTGTCATGTATGTCATTAAATCCATGTGACACAACCATACCCTTGCAACAACCCCTTCTTTCTTGTGCTGATGGCAGTGTATGGATGTGCACATGGATTACATGGCAGCCATGAGCTTGGATTTGCTGAACTACTGGTTTTTATTTTCTATGACAGCCACCAATGATTTGAACTGAAAGAACACCACCACATTCTAAAGTTGAGGCCAACCTTTTATTACAATGCCTGTGATGTCAATTCTCTTACATATGAACATGATGATGCTGGTCATCAGTGGGGGACTTAAGATCAACGATTTGGTTCACCGCAAACCATAGATCTTCAAGTTCCACACTCATGGCTAGTTTCATGCTTTACATTTGACTGAGGCTAAACCACTGTTTTATTTCACAGAAATGGTAGGGTACTATGTTGTTTTCAATGGGAAGGCTCCTGGGATTTACCAGAGTTGGTATGAGTGCAGTAAGCATGTTCTTGGGGTGAGAAATGCTATATACAAGAAGTATAGCAACTATGACCAGGCTATTAGAGATTTTCAGTCAACCATAAGAGATGTACATCCATCTCTTGGAGCAGCACCTCCCCTCCCCTATGATCATGTCCCTCATGATGTTTTTGCTCCAATCATTCCTCATTCTGATGGTAATGGTAAGGCTGGTTGGTGGAAGAAGGTGTTAATCACCTCACTTGTTATCTTGGTGTTTGATATATGGATGAAGGGGGGCAATACTAGCTGCAACGACTGCCCCACTTGGGCCTGTGATGGGTGCATGATGGATGAGTTGCTGCTGTGTCTTACTATTTTTTGCCGTTCATTTCTGTTTCCTATCTCCTATGTGTTGTTCAAGGTCTGTTGCTTACTGATTAGGCTTTTGATGTTGTTATTTTGCCTTACTTCATTGGTACTTTTGTAATTGTGGGAATTAGCCGGATGATGACAAAATGGATGGGTGCATTAGCTGGCTACATGTGCTTTTTGTTTGTGTAATCCATTTATGTGATCTTCTACCTGTGCTGGGCTTCACAGACTTGTCTTTGGTGGCTGACTATGCTGCAAATAGACCTATTCTTCCTTGCTTACTTCTTTAATTGTACCGTGTAGCCAGCTATGTTATGGATTGATCAACTGTTAATTTGACTTAGGCCTTGTGCTGTTAACAACACTAATTGTATGGTTTACTTGATCAAAACTGTTGTAATGGATCATCAACTCTTGCTCATTCCATTGCTATAACTACATTTGTGCATCCTGACTATGGGCCTGGCCGAGGCAGCCAACAACCAAACACAATCTCGATTTGGTAGTTGGAGTTAGTTGGCTGCTCAGCCCGGCTGCATGTGTGCAAACAAACACAATCTCAAGTGGGCCTAGCCCGTTTTCACACTGGATGTCAAATAAGAGTTGTTGCACCACTTGGGATAGGCCTAGACTGGCCGGGGCCAGGCGGGCGGGCCAAGTCAGCCTCAGCCACCCTTCCAAACAGACCCATTGTTTTTTTCTCAGGCAAGCAGATATAAAAAAATTCACCAAGCGTGCTACCGTGACGGAATGCTACATGAAGAGAGGTTTTTCGATGCTATTTTTATGTGACGGATGTCTTTCGATGATATTTTAAAAACGGTGTTCTTTCAATGTTAGAACCAACTTTCCCAACTCGAATATGTCTTCTCCAATCTAAAAACGGTGTTCTTTCGATGCTAAAACCAACTTTCCCAACTCGAATCTATCCTCTCCAATCCCCGATCCCCCTCTTTGCTAACAGAAACCTGAGAGCAGGTCTTCAGCAGCCTCCCTCCACACCATAGCCCAACGCCCCCAAACTCAAAGAGGCTTTTACATCTATGCCATTATAAAAGTTTGTAATTACCCACAAGCCATTAAAAAGTTTGAGCGGTCACAGGTGCCACTGGTCCGAACTCTTTTGTCCTCCACGCCATTCCATCTGCATTCTGTTTAGTTTTCACGGTTTGGGAGTCGTGGCACGTGGACCCGGCCAGTAAAATTGTCTAAAATGCCCATGTGTCCTAACCCTATCCTCTCTTGCTCACGCACACGGACAGAGGCGCCGCGCCCGCGCCAGCTCTCTCCGCCACTGTCGTGGCCTCCAATCCTGTCTCCGCCATGGACGCGCTCGACTCCTGGCTCCATCTGCCAGATGGCATCTGGGACGCCCTCCTGCACTCCTCGATGGACTCGCGGCTCCGTCTAGGATGCCCTCCCGCACTCCTCGATGGCCGCTGCGAAGTCCTAGTACATGCGCCACTCCTAGGCGGCAGTGAGTTGCGCCGCGTTGGCGCGGCCCAGCCCCAACCTCACGGCCGTCGGGACCACCCTTGACGACGTGCACCCCGAAGCAAGCCATCTCCGTGGACTCCGACACGGTGGTCATCCTGGCGTCCCTCCTCTGCGCCCTCATCTACGTGACGGCATGGTCGGCCTTACGCTCGTCACCCGGTGCGCCTTCCGCAGAGGAGGAGGAGCCTCTGTGTCAGTGGCGGCCACCGGCGGCAACAGCTCTGGCAGCAGGTTGTCCGCCCAGCCGCCCAGGGGACTATAGAAAGGCGGCCATTGAGGCGCTACCCATCGTCTTCGTCTCCGTCTCTTCCCTGCAAGGAAGGAGAACAGACGCCGACAAGGAGGAGTGCGCCATCTGCCCCGCGGCGTTCGCAGAGGGAGACCAGCTGCGTGTGCTGCCGCGCTGTGCCCACGGCTTCCACTCAACCTGCAGGACGCCAAGGCAGCACCAGAGCCTGTTGCTGCTGCGGGCTTGCTTCCACCTTGGCCGATCGATGGAGCGAGCTTGTCATCCAAATCGATCCACTGATGGAAAATATGGCCAAGGGGTTGAGAAGCAACGATGATCACGTCTTGGATCCAATCTGATACATGCAACATAATAATGTCATTAATTCATTGGATACAAGCAAGCACGTTGACGATGTTGCCCAGGGAGCTCATCGCGCCCGCCATGCGCTAGTAGCCTAGTAGAGCACTGCCACCGTCGTTCTCTTGGATTTTTTTCTTTTAGTTCTTTTGGTTGCTGCTGACCGTCGTGTCCGTGCCTTTTCCCTTGCCGTGACTGCAACGTGCAGGTGTGGAGGGGCGTCAACCTGATCTATGGCGGCGGCAACATTGGCCTCATGGGCGTGATTGCTCAGCTCGGACGGTTCGTGATGGCGGCTTGGGTACCTTGCCGCGCGCTTGCAGTTTCACCTTCTTTTTTTTTCACACCCCTTTTGAATACTCTTTCTGATGTTGGAGTATTATTATATGACTATGAATTTCTAGGCTAAGTTATTTACTTACTTTGTGTTTATTAAGTTATTTCATGGTGACATGCAAACAACTATGTGATGATGAGTGGCACAGGAGGCAAATGCAACTTCATTTAGCTTCTCTGAGGGCATTTTCGTCTTTACGTAGCTCCATTTGACACTGTTAGCAGCGATAGTCGACGGAATGGCGTGGAGGACAAAAGAGTTCCGACCAGTGGCATTTATCACCGCTCAAATTTGTTAATAGCTTGTGAGTAATTACAAACTTTTATAATGACGTATAGGTAAAACCCTCAAACTCAGAAGCCACACGCCCTAAAAAATAGAAGCCCAACGCTCGCGCGCAACCGTGGTCACCAACTCGCCACCTGCCCGCCTTCCCGGTCCGCCGCCAATTTCTGGACCTTAGAGGTGATGTCCTCAGAAAGAATGATGGGATAGACTATTAGAGCATCTCCAATAGTTTTTTCTTAAATTTACTTTCTAAATCATCATTCGGAGAGCCATTTGAATAAAAATAATTCTCTATATCTTCCACACTTAAACTTTTTCTATATATCTTGCGTGCGCTTTAGAGAGCCAGTCTCGTTATCTATCTTTGGCTAACGAGAAATTTGAAATAGAGAATGACAATATTTAGAGGTCTAATTAAAGAATCTGCTGGAAGATATTTTATTTATCAAAACCTATATTCCTATCAATTAGGAATGATATAAAGAGCCTAGGGACTGCAAAACCATCTCTCTCAATAATCTTAGAAATATTATTGGATGACCCTAGTACTATTTTGATGAGGATAAGATATCAGGAGATATGTGAATAGTACCTGATTTGCAAGTATCTACCTGCGGCTACATTGTACACACTTGAAAGAGATGTTAAATTGAAGATACTCATTTTTTTCTCCAACCTGTAGACTGTAGTGCCTCGCAGGTCTGAATACACTATTGTCGACTCAAGGTTTCTTTTCATTTGTAATTTGACATGTTTTTGCTGGCATGTACATGTAAGGTGCTTGAGCATCTCAAACTAAAGTTATCCTGTCACAACACGGCAAGAGCACTGGATTATATCCATGGCATCTGTCCAGTTCTGACAATAATATATTATATGATTTTCATGCTTGTTGAGGTCCAGATGTATTCATCTTGTTTTGACGTGAATTAAAAAAAAACAAAGTATAAAATCAGCTGCACTATGAGTTTGAAAGGTCAATAGTGCCTAAGAAGGATACCTTTCGTTATCTAGGATCGATATTATAGAGAAATGGAGACATTGATATGGACATTAGCCATAAAATCAAAGCAGGGTAGATTAAATGGCGATAAGCTTTTGACGTTCCTTGTGACAAGAGGGTACCATAAAAGATAAAATGCAAGTTTTATAGAACGGTGATTAGACCGGCTATGTTGTATGGAGCAGAATGTTGACCTATAAAGATTCGTCATGTTCAACAACTAAGTGTTGCAGAAATACGCATGTTGCGATGGATTTGTGGTCACACAAGAATGGATCGAGTTAGGAACGATGATATACGTGACCGCCTAGGGGTAGCACCAATTGAAGAAAAGTTTATCCAACATCGGTTGAGGTGGTTTGCCATATCAAAGGAGACCATCAGAGACACCAGTGCATGGAGTCCTAAGCCAAGATAATAATGTGAGGAGAGGTAGAGATTGACCGAAATTGACACGGGGGATGCAATAAAAAGAGATTTGAAAGTTTGGGATATACCTAGAGATCTATGTTTAAATAGGAGTGCTTGGAAAGCAGCTATTGATGTGCCTGGACAGTGACCAGGGGCTTTTGGTGGGTTTTAACTCTAGCCTACCCAACTTCTTTGAGACTAACATGTTTTGTTGTTGTTGTATAAAATCATCTGCACACTTAATGTGTTTGATGATAAAGCCCCAAATCTGAAGAATGACTGCTCAACCGTTTTTTTAAGATAAATGCTCAACCGGTTAAAACACTTTTGTGAAATAGGTGCTTCCAAACACATTAGATTTTTATTAGTATTTGGTGTATAGAAAGACTATGAACGAAACCGCATATGGGATTTTGAAAAAGAAAAAGGAAAGAAGGAATTCATTTCAAAGGGAAAAGGGGAAATGTTTTTTCTTTTGAGGAAGAAGGAGACAGCCCTCACTTCTGTACAAGATCCAAAGCAACCGTAAAGACCGTTCCAGCCCATAGATAACAGCAGCTTCTGCTATGCCCAGCTCAGCACTCTCAACCCAAGCCCAGCCCATTTACAGCACCTCCTGGCTCCTGCAAGCGGGACGCCGGCCAACCCGCGCCAGTCTCCACAGCGCAACCTCGACGAGCACCCAAATCGACGACTTGTTCCCCCCTCTCCGATCTCGACGCGCACCGATGCGGGCGATGTCGTCGGCGGTTAGTGGGATGCTGCGGGCACGGCTGCGCGGGGCGGCGCGCGTCCGCGGCGGCGGCGGCGAGGGGGCCGGGCGGTGGACGACCCCGGGGCACGAGGAGCGCCCCAAGGGGTACCTCTTCAACCGGCCGCCGCCGCCACCGGGGGAATCTCGCAAGTGGGAGGACTGGGAGCTGCCCTGCTACGTCACCTCCTTCCTCACCGTCGTCATCCTCGGCGTCGGCCTCAACGCCAAGCCCGACCTTACATCGAGACCTGGGCGCACCAGAAGGCGCTCGAGCGCCTCCAGCAGCAGGAGCTCGCCGCCGCCGACTCCCAAGCCGAGTGATCCGCGCGTCTCAGGTCCCCTCGAACTCTCGGCTGCCTCTGATTTGGTTCCAATAAGATGGTCACGATGTGCGGTCCTGAATTTTCTGGTATGGATGGAACACGAGCTGAACACTATGATGTTGTTTTTTTCTGTTTCGTTTTGAAATTTGCCCGATGATGATGGCGAATGCCCGAAATATTTTGAAATGTTTCACTGTTGTATTATCATCTTATCCTTCGGTTGTACTACTACATGACCACAATTTAGGATTTTACTTGTTTCGCACTTCTGCAGATAGCTCTGTTGTGAAATGTTTCTTATATTGTTTGAGAGCCTCAGTCATTTTCCACATTTCTCAGTAGGTATATTACATAGATAAATCAGGTATATTACATAGATAAATCAGGAGCACTGCTATGTGTCTGACGCTTGTATGAGTATGACCAGGCCTAATCAACCAATCAGAGAGCTCGTTTTCATCCATTTGGGATAGGCAGCACACATGTTTCTATAGTTGCACACAGGCACAGGTCGGATGGCCATGGCCATACTATAGCCAGTCTAATAAATTTGTTTTAAAATGATAGATGGTAATGCATACTGTGTTAATTAAGTAAATGTGTAAATTTGTTGGGCTATAGGTATAGTTGTATGTAAGATGCAGAACAATATTTAGGTGACTACATAAGGTGCAGACTGCAGAGCCTTTCTATGGTAACCTAACCTGTTGTCTCATTTAATGAAAAGGTAGATTGAAATTGTCACCTCGAGCCAAATGGAATGTTGCCTTAATGTTGTTGCAATGAATCCTGTGAATCTTTAATCATAGTTTAGACTCAAATAATTATGTTGTGCAATTGAATTGTGGATGCTTTGAGTATCTATTGATCTACATTGAATGTGATGTTCTTGGTGAAAATGTTCATGGATTGCTTAGATATCTTAAAATAAGATAATGTTTTAACTTTTAACTTTTTAAGTACAGCAGCTGTTCAGGAGGGTGTGGGCAAACCCGTGCTTGCCCATACCCTAATTTGGACATCAATTCCCCATTTTCACCCTTATCCAATTTGCCCATACCCAAATGCCCTTACCCAATCAGGAATCAGATAAATTGAACAGGAAATGGGTGGGGAAGATGACATGACAAGAACAAGCCATGTTAACCATGAAGTTTGATTTTTTTGATAAAATAATTAGAGACAAAGGCACAAAGCAGCAAGAAATGACTGATTAACAACATATCACAATACTATGGCATAGAAAGAAAAAAAGGCACTAATTCAAGATTGGAAGGATCACACCCCGGTTCCATTTTTGTTCACAGTCTTGTTTCAACTCGCCTATCTTCATACATGTGGCATATTCTGATGTTCAGAAAGTTTCAGTGTAAGAAGAACGATCAAAAGCTCTTGCGTAAATTGTACATACGCATTTCATGGGACCAATCGAGAATTTTGGAAAGGCCAACTGGAATCGACCCAATTGTAGATACATGCAGTCAGAAGAACCCTTTTTTTTTTTTTTTTGGGGATTTCAGAATTTGGTCCACCATCTGATTTGACCAGCCGTAGAAACTTTTACAGCGCCAGAAGCATTCAAGCTTGCAGTTTCACCAGATCCATAAAAGCATTAGTAGATAGTTTGCTAATTTTTCTATTTCGCTTTTTAATTTACCTGATGATGATGGCGAATGCCCTATTGCCCTAAACATTTTAAAAATGTTTTGTGGCCATCCCCTTCATCCTTTGGTTGTAATTGTACTACATGTCAACAGTTAGGAACTTTGGATTGTCTTCTGTCTGTTCTGCTGATAACTCTGTTGTGAAAGATTCTCTCTGTAAGTATGTTACTTGGAGAAGTTAGTTTGAAAACGTTAGAAGAAGACAGCCCATAATGTGTAAATGTGCAAATGTGCTGGGTTGTGGGTATAATCATATAGAAGATGCAGGACAATATTTGGATTGCTATTAGGCATAACTATTAGCTTCTATGGTAGCTGAGCCCGTTTTATCATTTGATAAAAAGGGATATAAAACCAACTAACCAAGTCAATGTAAAGCAAGTGGAATGCTGCTTCATTAGTGTCGCTATGAGTCAAATAGGCATGTTTTACACTTGAATTGATGATATGATGAAGGATAAATCATTGCCTATTGCTTTGCACTGAATGTGATGGTTTCTGGTAAAACTGATCATGGATTGCTTAGACGTCTTAAAAATAAGATAATATTTTGACTTTTAAGTTGGCAAAGGATCCGAGCCATAGTACATGGACTACTGGTGGAAGTTTACTTCACAGTCACAAGTATACTCAAAGCTTTTGGTTTTGGGGTCAGTTGCTCTACACAAAACTTGGTAAGCTTTTCAGGCATGCTTACTAGTCATATGCCAAGGTGGCCCCTTTTTTATTTTCTTCAAAATTTGGTGTAGTTGTGCTTTTTCATCTTACCATCTCCATACACAAGCAATTCTAGACATGAATACTGGGAATCAGTGTTTCTAAATAGTCAAATTACTGTCTATGTTTCACATACCAAAAATTTCTGTGTGTTCGAGAAATATATATATATATATATATATATATATATATATATATATAAAAAAAATGAAGAGTTAACATATCAAGCATACTAGAACTTAGTTTGAGTGATTACTGTGGCTAAGCTAGCATTGATGGTTGCAAAAGTACCATTTTGTGCCTAATGATGGATAGCGACTTAGCAGCCACCTGGTGACTGGTGAGTGCTTCTGCAGTTTAGCGTGCTGATAGGCAGAGAAGTTGAGCAAACTTGAACTTGAACATCTCTGGGTTCATGTACCTTGATCGGCAAATGATTCTACTACAAGGGACATAGGAAAATGAGCTTATCTTTGTTTAAAACCCGCAAATGATTCCTTGTCATTGTTTTTAAGGGTGTTTGTATAATGTATATATGATTGACACTAGCATATGCAATGGCCTAGGGTTATGGGTCAAGTGACCCATTAAGTATCGATGGCTAATTTCTGTAGAAATTCAAAGAAATCTGAAACTTAGGCTAAAGTGACTTATATCACTTGCCTCCTAGATTTCTTCCAATCTTTTATAGTTATCAGCCTGTTTTTCCGATCAATCAGCCTTAATAGTGTGACAAGCAGTCCACAGTCCTATTGAGTGTAATGTCTCTGTTGCTCCTTTCTTAGCTCGGTTTTCTACCTTCTCTGCAATAACTATTATGACCATGTTCCTGGCGGTATGCATAATCATATAGAGCCGCTGTTTCTCAGTTATCAAAATCCTTTGTTGATATTACATAATGTTTGAGTGGTTCTTTTAGCGAATTGTGTCTGCTCACTCTCTGCATAGCATAGGTTATGGCCTTATGGGTGTGGTTCTGTGAGGTTTACTTGGATATGTGGGGACTAGACTATCCCATGAAGAATGAACTGATTGCCTTGCCAATGCTAAGATTTGAGTCTAGTACTCCCTCCTTGTCTATTAAAGCATGTTCTAAGCGTTTTCGAATTACGCTCTGGGGATAAAGGTATTATTTTGTAAGATCAATTGACTTGGCTGAAGTTTTAGTATCATCAAACAGATAGTGATAACTGAATCCAGTACTAGTAATCAGTAACACTGTTAGAGGTAAAATCATGCAGTTGGAAGTTTCCTAGCCTGTTTAGGATAGGATATTTTCTGTGAAATTTATTACCATTTTATGTACATACTTAGCTTGAAGCTTCAACTAATGTCATGCTTGTACTTGCAGTCCTAGGAACTAAACCTACCTTAGGTGGTTGAGGGCGTAACTGTACACCTAGACCATCTAAGTTAAAGTACTTAAAAAGGGCGTACCCAGTGCAGAGAGCTCCCGCTCTGTGCGGGGTCTGGGGAAGGGTGTCAGTGGCAAGCCTTACCCTTGCCTGTGCAATGCGAGGAGACTGCGACTCGAACCTGGGACCTTCCGGTCATAGGCGGTAAGACTCTACCGCTTGCACCAGGCCCGCCCTTCCATCTAAGTTAAAGTACTTGTCGAGGCAAATTTGGGTGTCTATTCTTAACTAAAATGCCACTTAGTTCTTCCTAGGTTGAGGTTTTTTTTACAGTCCTATAATCGCCTCATATTTTATTTTTTTGGCAAACTGACTTTCAATCAAGTTTAATAACTTTACAAAAGCGAGGTGCACATTGATAGTTAAGGCCTAGATGCTGCATTCTGTGCAAAGAGACGAGATTTACATGTATACTTCTTTTGGGGAAAAAAATGCGGCATGTGTTGTGACCTGTGGCCCAAACGTACAGTCATTTATCCCAAGTATTGTGGGTTGTGTTTGTTGTCGTAATGTTATCCTCGTGAGCAATGTTTAGATTATTAGGGCACCTTCATCACGAGTTTTTCTGCAGCAACACGCACATGCTGTCTTGGCCAAACGCTAGGGTGCTTAGCTGGCTAGAAAGAAAAAACGGCCTACTTATGCAGACAGGCCATGTGGTAGAGTAATGATGCTTGCCTGTCATGTTTGGTCTCTAATTTCCAATTCTGCTACTTGAAGCATCATCACAGGCTTGGCTTTCAAATCAATCTGGCAGTGAAATTCTCTGCAACTTCATGTTCAACTATCATGCCAACCGAAACGCATGCTCTGAGAGTTGAATTCTGAACAGTCCTTTCCCCCCTGGTTATTAAGGGCATTACTGCACTTTGGCTTGTACGATCTGGCGATGTATTTCTGTTGCTAACTGTAAGCATGACCTTTTGTGGAGCGTGGATTCTGTTTGTAGATAGGCATCATTACTGCTGAAGCTTGTTCATTACTAGCCGCATTTTTGTTTTGCTTTTCTTTTTCCTAATCAGATGCATCTAATAAGTACGAGCTTTTTTGGGTAGGATGTATATTCTATAAACTCCATGATACTACAGATGCATCAACTTTTAAATGGGAATTTTACCTCCGTTTTTGTAATCTGCATGTTTGAACTACCATGCCCTGCAACAGAAAGCATATTCTCAACTCAATTCTAGATTTATAAACAACCTTTTCTCTTTATTATATAAGGGCATTAATTCACTTTGTTTTTTTTTTACTATCCCACCATGCATTCCTGTCGCTGATTGTAAGCTGGCCTTTGTGGACTGCAATCTAGAATTGTAGATAGAGTAGACAGGATAGCACAGCTTGTTCATCACACATCCATGTACGGTCTTTCTGGTGGGATGTACTGTATGCATAGTGTAACCTGCAGATGAGTACATATGCTCGCTTTTGCGTAGATCCAAAGCTACATCGTGTCTTTCCGGGACTTTTGACCAGGGCTTGCATTCTCT